TGGCTGGGGTGTGGCTTTCACGTGATGATTTTTAAAAGCCCTCCAGTTGTTGATTTTATGTGCAGCCAAATTTAAGCACCACTTATGGCAGGAGTTGTCAAAGTGTGGTCCTGGGACAGGCAGCATCAGTATCACTTGGAATCCATTTAGAAATACAGAATTCTCCCCAACTCCCAAACCTGCTGAGTCAGAAATTCTGGGAGTAGGTCTAGGAGTTTGTTTTAAAGAAGCCCACCAAGTGGTTCTGAAGCACATGAAAGTTTAAGGGTAACTGCCTGAGGAAAAGAAGGATGGCTGAATGCGCTTTCAATCCCAGGAGGCTCAGGTACCATAGATAAATAGCATGTTTTATTGTCTTCTGCCTTTGAGGAGTGAATTTATATGATAAATTTGCAAAGTGTTGCAAATATTTTTCTCAGAGGAAGATGTAACAAGAAAATCTTTTACAAGCTGGATTGATAATTAATCTTGAGAGAATCCTTTTAGCTGAGAAAATATCTTGAATAATCCTGCTTAAGTTAGGTGATTTCTTATGGGTCAGGTATGTTGGCTAGAACTAGGGCTTCAGAGAAAGTTAAAACGTGTCTAATGAGAAAGTAAGAGAAATGTGTTCCAAAAGCAATGAGTAAGTAGAGGAAGACAGTAAGGAAGATGGCAGGAGCTATATTGCCCTGAAAAAGTTTGGCTATTAAATGCTTGAAATACGTAGCGTGGATGAATTCTTGGAAACTCAGAAATTTCACAATTGAGTTATATATAGGTGTTGGATATTGACCTGAAGGACATAATGCCAGGAAGGTCCAGCTGACATCTAGGTTATACCCTTTATTTTTGGATTGAAAGTTGCCTGAAATTAGGGTCTTCGATCAGATTTTGGTTTGTTATTGTAACATTTTAGGGAACTCAAGAGATTAAAACAGATTTACCTACCAGAAATATGAGTCAGTCACTAGGCTAAGGCAATGAAGATGCAAAGACAAATTTAAAAATAAATCCCCCAGCCTCAAAGCAGCTCAAAATCCAGTGGCAAGAAATACCTTACTACATCTTGGCTACACTGTATAAGGTCTATTCTAGGAAGATAAACAAAATACCATGAACTGAGGCTGAAGAAACAATATTGCTGAGGTTGAGGATAAGAAGTTTCAGTGAAGCCTTCATAGATTAGGAAACATTTGAACCTGGACTTTAATGGGAACAGATTTTCTTTCTTTCTTTTTTTTTTTTTTTTTTTTTTTGAGATGGAGTTTCACTCTTGTTGCCCAGGCTGCAGTTCAATGGCGCAATCTCAGCTCACTCTAACCTCTGCCTCCCTGGTTCAAGCAATTCTCCTGCCTCAGCCTCCCAAGTAGCTGGGATTGCAGACGCACACCACCACGCTCAGCTAATATTTTTGCATTTTTAGTAGAGATAGGGTTTCACTATGTTGGCCATGCTGGTCTCAAACTCCTGACCTCAGGTGATTCACGTGCCTCAGCCTCCCAAAGTGCTGGGATTACAGGCGTGAGCCACCGCATCCGGCAATGGGAACAGATTTTCAAAGCTGTGCCCCGTTTAGTTGTAGCAGTAAAAGTGGCTAGCACATTGGTCTAAGTGCAGGAAACACAGCTGAAAAGGCTGATAAATTATCTTCAGGGTAAATAGTAAAATTTTCTTAAGAAAATTGCATGATCAATTTAGTAACTTAGGTATTTAAGAAGAATGAGGCTGTGTTAAAATGGGAGCATCTGGAGGCATGAAATCCAGTCAGGAGTTTCTAGTAATACTCAAAGGCAAGAGAGAATGAGTATCTGCAAAGACTGAGACACTGGGCACTGAAAAGAATGAACTGATTTCTGTTTCAGGCCCCTTCAAGGGTACAACCTGGTGCTAAAACTTTTGCATGTATCTGAGGGTAGTGTTTAGGATCTGTGGGTCTGACAGAACACTCAACCATACGTGTTCTGTTTGTTGAATGTGTAAATGTGTTGAGAGAAGACAATAGGGTGGGAAAAGACAAAAGCGAGGAGATAGGAAGCTTCTCCTGCAATCTAGATAAGAGATGATGATAACTTGGCCAAGGTGACAGCAGTGATGAGAAGTGGTCAAATTCTGAATATATTTGGAAGGTACTGCAAACAAAGTTTGTTAATAGGTTAGATATGAAGTATGAGAGACAGGACTCAAGGATGACTCCAAGATTTTCGCCCTGAGCAACGGAAAGATTGGAGTTGCCATTAATGAAGATGGGGAAAACTAAAAGGAACTGGTTGAGAAGGAGGAAGATTTTAAGCTTCAGAGTAGAGACGGGTTTCACTATGTTGAAACCACAATATTTTCATATGAATAGAAAATATTATACTTAAAAGATATTTGGCTTAAGGGTTGGTTTAAATAATGCATAATTATTATGAATCCATCTCTATTTTTGTGATTTTAAATAACTAATCATATGAGGATCTCATTCTCCTCAATCAAAAGAGGACTTAGATATTTTTATTAAGTTGATTTCGGTTGAGTCAGATCTATTGTTTGTATTTATATTGCAAGAATGAGAGCTGATTCATAAACAGATGAATCAAAGAGTATCAGTTTCATTATAGTGACTTGGAGTACTTGTACCTAGTGCATACTAAAAAAATTAATGAAAGTTGTGGGCACCAGCTTTTGTAAATGACTTTTTCATATCAAAATCTGGAAGTATATTAAGTTATAAATGTTACAGTAATAAAGGCTGTGCTCTTAACCTTGGATTCTTTATCTGAAAGAGGTGTGTTTACATCACCACAGTATACCTTTCATACACTGATCAACCATGAAAGGTGTTTACAAAACACCTTTCATTTGAATTTCTGGTTTTAGTACTACTTAAAAAGTCCAGAGAGGCAAAATTTGACAGTATTTTTTCATTTTTATTTTATTCTCTTCTAGCTAAGTAAGCACAGTTTAAAATACTCATGATAATAATTTTACAGTTCCACATAACATGTATCATAACATGCATAAACAATGTTCTTGATACTACTTCAAACATTTTTAAGACAGGTTATCAATTAGCCTTGTTTTAAATTGGCTAGATGAATTAGTGTTACACATGGCTAGATAGTAAGACTAATGAAAAGACCAAATGGATATTAATTGTAGTAATTTGATTATTAATCTTCATAAGTAAATGAGAACTTCTACTAAAAAATGTGTTTCCAAGGGTTTTTAAAAATTGGTTTATATGAGAGCATATAAACCTATAAAAGTTGAATCAATTGGCTAACCACATTTTCAAAGAGTTCCGTAAGGCATTTGAGAGTTCCTTATATACTTTACCTGTTATTGTTATAATGTTGTCAATTATATCACTGTAAGTTCCCATAGTAAAACAATCAAAGGTTGCACTTGTTGAAAATTCCTTCCCTGAAGCTGACTATATTCCAACTGATTTAGAATCAAATGACTATATTCTAACTGATTTATAGAAACTTGTAACTGTTAATCTATGTAAGTGCTCAGTGAACTATATCACAAAACGGTGATTAAAAAAAACCCTCTAAATCCACTTTTGAGAACCCATAACCCCTACTTCCACATCCTTTCTCCACCTTCAGTAAATAAGATGAAATCTGGACATTCACATCCACTGTAAAGTAAATAACAGTGGAAGCAGAACTCAAGGAAAATACATGTGGGTTTCTCAGCCTAACCAGTCACTGTCTACCCACCTAATATTCAGTCTTAAATATTCAGTTCTACTACCACCCATTCTCAGAAGTGTTTCTCCCTTCACAGCCTCTTCTGTGGCATTATAGCACTTAACACACTAAATTCTAATCATTGACTTTGTTTGACCCCTGTACTAGCAATTGCAGGCTGAATTGTCTGTTTTCATTTCTTTATCTCCTGATCCAGGCAACGTCTGGTACACATTAAATGCTCAACAAATGTTTGCTGAATGAATAAATTAATGAACAAATGAAACAGTATTGATTCCACGTTGTAACTTTGTAATAAGTAATTTGTTACTTAAAACTATATTTAATACATGCCCCCTCTAAAAAAGAAAACTAGTATCTCAGCCTATTTTCAACATTACATTAATCCTCATGTTCATTTTTTCATACTCACATACAAGGTACTATTATACATTGGCACAATGTAGGATTAACTTTCATTCATTCATACTGTTCATTCATAGTCACTATTGTGACTGCAGATTAGCACCAAAAAAACAATTTCTAACAAAATATGCCTCATAAAATGATATATCAATAATATTAGCATTGTGTTATCAAATTTTCTCATCTAAGCCCATCTCTACTTTCAAATGCCTTTTTCATGATAAAAGCAAAGTTTAACCACTTTTTATTCTGATTTCTCTTTGATACAAAACCAAGTCATAAAGCAACAGTTTCTGCTAGTTTTATTAAGAGAACCACTTTATGTTTCTTCCCCCTTTATGTTATGACAGGCAAATTCCATTACAGTGAATTCTGATAGCCCATTTGATAGTTGTTGTAAATTCACTGATAGAAATTATATATATTATATAGCTTTCAGAATGGATTTATTAAAAAGATTCAAAGCTTCAAGAAGTGAAAACCGGCATCTGAAATTTGAGGAAAAAGTGGCAAATATATAATTCCTTCCCTCAACAAGATCAGAGATTATTGTGTAGTATGGTATTCTTTATTTTGAAAATTTATATGTAAAACTATAGAACTGTCAAGAAATAGCTAAGTTCTTTTTCTCCTTCACAGTAATGAAGGTTCCAATAAAGTAATTTCTATAGTAGTTTATTCTTCATAAATAAATCACTACTATAATTGACTACTGAGAAATGAAAATCTTTAACTTAAAAAAATACAGAGCCCGGGCCGGGCGCGGTGGCTCAAGCCTGTAATCCCAGCACTTTGGGAGGCCGAGGCGGGTGGATCACGAGGTCAAGAGATCGAGACCATCCTGGTCAACACAGTGAAACCCCATCTCTACTAAAAATACAAAAAATTAGCTGGGCATGGTGCGTGCCTGTAATCCCAGCTACTCAGGAGGCTGAGGCAGGAGAATTGCCTGAACCCAGGAGGCGGAGGTTGCGGTGAGCCGAGATCGCGCCATTGCACTCCAGCCTGGGTAACAAGAGCGAAACTCCGTCCCAAAAAAAAAAAAAAAAAAAAATACAGAGCCCTTCTTGATTAACAGAATTTGTCTTAAATAGGATTTTATCTATAGTATCATATATATATAATCCTTAAACAAGTAATCATTGAAACAAAGAAGTCAGTAACAAAATATTCTTTTAACTGTAACACAGATCTCAGGAAATAGACATTCAGAAAAGATTTAAGGCCACTCAGTAATAGCCTCTCATAAAACGCAACAAACCTTAAATTGCAATTAGACTTAAAAGGGACCTAAACATTACTTCATGCTGAGCCAAAATTAGAAAAATCTTCTACTGTTGACATTTTCATGTTTTTAGTTTTTCAATCAAATGATCAGCCTGTAATTAAAAAAAAAAAACAAAAAACTTTAATTCTAGATATCACAGCCTCTATCAAATAATTCTACTAGTATCCCTATTATAATAAGCCACATTAGAAGAGTTGAGTACTACATTTTCTGTTCCTAAAAATATCTTACAAAAAAAACCTCTTGGTATAATATAATATCTATATACAATTATTCTACATTGTATATAAATAGGCAGATTGTTGCCTACATTGCAAATTCATTAAGTTTCAATAAGAAAAGGAAAATAAATATAACAGTAAACTTTTAAAAAGTAAAGTAGAAGCTTAAATGCATATTTTAAGTGAAAGAAGCCAATCTGAAAAGACTACATACTGTAGTATTCCAACCATATGACATTCTGGAAAAGGCAAAACTATAGAGACAATAAAAGTATCCATGGTTGCCAGGGGTTAGAGGGGAAGGAGGGATGAATAGGCAGCACACAGAGGATTTTTAGAGCAGTAAAACTATTAGGTATGATGCTATAATGGTGGATACATGTCCTTATACATTTGTCAATACCAATGAATGTAAAACCAAGAGTCAACTCTAAAATAAACTATGGACTGTGGTGATAACAATTTGTCAATGGAGTTCATCAATTGTAACAAATATACCACTGTGGTGTAGGATGTGATAGTGAGGAAACTGTACATGTGGAGGGGAAGGGGGTGCATGGGAACTGTCTGTAGTTTCTACTCAATTTTGCCGTGAACCTAAATCAGCTCTAAAAAAAAAAACTCTATTTTTTTAAAAAAACTTTGTAAACTAAAGTCTTTGAGTTACATCATTTCAGTGTTTTTCTCAATCACACTATATAATCTGGATCATTAAATAAGATTTTTGAAATAAGCTTCAATATCTTTATCCTGATTATTTTCAAAGTCTCATAAGATATACTAACAAAGTCAGATTTAAGAAGAGTTCAGATTCTCAGGATGAACCACATCAACGTATCTTATAATTTTGTACATTGATGTTTTCCAAGTTAAAAAGTCTTTCATGTAAGAAAATACAGTCAAAACATTACAAAAATGTATTTTTGTTCATCTTTTATTATAAAGGTATAGCTCTTATGGAAAATTAGAAAAAAAAAAATCCTTTTCTATTACACTAACTTTGTAAAAAAATCAAACCAGCTGCCATGCAGAATGTCCCACGTTTAAAAATTTCAAATACATGCACACACATGTATATATACATATATGTGTATCTTATATATTTTTTAATTTTTAATTTTTTTTGAGACAGGGTCTTACTCTGTCACCCAAGCTGGAGTGCAGTGGTGTGATCACTCAGTACAGCCTTGACCTCCTGGGCTGAAGCGATCCTCCCACCTTAGCCTCTGAAGTAGCTAGGACTACAGGCATGCACCACCATGCCCAGCTAATTTTTATATTTTTATATGATTTAAATAAAATCATCTAGGCAACAAGTTGAAGAAGGGATAACATGTTTGAAATATGAAGTTTCTAGAAATTAGATACTTAAGTGATACCATTCATTAACTAATGGTAAATATATACTATTTGATGATTGTTCTTATATGGCAACTATAGATCACCTCATCGTTATGGACACATAAAATAACACCCTGGTAAGTTTCTGGTCAATTGGTCATAGAGGGACCAGAGTCACTTAATAGCTATGGGTTGACTTCAGACCACAGGTGTATAAACAGCAGAATTCTACTCCACTTTTTCTTTAGCAAAGCAGAATGCGGTAATTTTTTACACTTAAAACTTTGGGCCAGGCACAGTGGCTCATGCCTGTAATCCCAGCACTTTGGGATGCCAAGGCAGACATATCACAAGGTCAGGAGATTGAGACCATTCTGGCCTGCATGGTGAAACCCCATCTCCACTAAAAATAAAAAAAATTAGCTGGGCCTGGTAGTGCACACCTGTAGTCCCAGCTACTGAGGAGGCTCAGGCAGGAGAATCACTTGAACCTGGGAGGCAGAGGTTGCAGTGAGATGAGATCATGCCACTGTACTTTAGCCTGGTGACAGAATGAGACTCCATCTCAAAAAAAAAAAGTTTTTTTTTTTTGACCACAGATCTGGTAGGTGATGCTACTACTGCAACTCTTTTTCAAGAAGTTTAAACTATCAAACAATACAAAAACTTAATTTCTACAATAATGATGGTATAACAATAGAAGTAGCAGGTAACATTTCCTGACTACTTACTATTGCAAGGTACCATTTTAAGTGCTTTATATATAAGTTATCTCATCAACTCTCTTATCAACCCTAGGTGTAGGCACTGTTACCTATACACAGGTATTAAAGACTTTGAGCCTTAAAAAATGTAAGTAACTTTCACATGGACCCTCAAATAAGCAATGCAGCCAGAATTTGAATCCAGATCAGACTCAAAAATCAGAACTCTGAATACCATGGTTCTCTTATATTGTATCCGCTACCTGCAATGAGAAAGACTTAGCCATAGCTTTTTTTCCTACAGACTGATGATCTTGAAAATCCCCCAAATTAAAAATATTATTTGGATATGTGAGCTATAAGTGCCTAATGTTGGGAAGAAAAAACTACAACGAAAAGGACAAATATTTTAAATATTTTTGTATGCTGCTGACATAACAAGAATACTCACTGTGATAAACCAATAGGAATTGACTCTATAAACCAATTTGGATAAGAAGCCAAGCTGATCCACTGGTGCCAGAACATGAAGGTGCAAGTGGGAAATAGAACAGAATGGAGGCATATGAAAACCCATCCTAAAACAGAAAAGGAAGAGATGATTGACAAACGAGTTCTACAATAGTTTAAAGTCATTTTTCAGGAGAAAACACGTAAATATTAACGAGATCCAAAATAAGTACCTAAGGTAAACAGACTGTCACAACTCTTTTTCCTGTTTCTCTTTATGCACTTCAGAGGATTAATGTACTTCCTCTTCTTTTCATGTTGAAGTTCATAGTAACATAAGCTCATCATCAAGGAATGCCTTAACAGCATATTATGCCTCAGTATAATCTTTATGAATTCTGAGTTGGCATAATGCCTTATCACTTCAGTCCTTATCATCTTAAGCTTTCAGTCTCTTAAAATATGCTCTTGCAATGAATTTTTTAAAACATCACTGGACAGTCAAGTAGCAGTGTTCCTTTTTTCAATACACAGCCAGTAGATGGCATACGTTTTCTTTTAATAAAGTTCTCAGACATTTCCTACCAAACCAGTATTTCAGTAGTGAGATTAATTATGTCATCATAAAAAAAACTGTCATCATCACATAGGTTTCTTGTTTAATACTTAAAATTAGTTAGATGATAATTATAATTATGTTGTTTCTAAAAAATACACGAGAATTCCTTTAAATAGTTAAAAAGTTTTTTAAATATGATTTAAACTCTTAAAAATAAGCTTACAAAAAGTTGTGCAAGTCCACCTATACTCAGCAGGGCAAAGCACGCCTGTAACAATAATCAAAGCCTAGAAATATTTGCCTGTTCAAGCTATCAGTGAGTGGGAGTGTGGAAGTGAGGCATAAGAGAAGTGCTATACTGCAACAGTGATCCTCTGGGACTAGCAATGTGGAGCCAAATATGCAGTACATACTTTAAAATTCCCACCAATACCTAGAAGAGGAGACTAGGTTTTCCTTCTGTGAAAAAGAAATATAATGTAGAATCAAGTAATCTGGAAGCTTGAAACAACTCAAAGATTCATTCAATCTTTTCATCTTAAAGATGGGAAAGCCATGATCCAGAAAGTTTAAAATATTTCCCAACGTCATAAAGTTAGATAGTCATGGAGCTGGGGTTGAGACTCAGAGCTCTTGATTCTTTGTCCACTGTTCATTCTTCTAATAAGCATCCTATGACTGGGAAGGAAATGTGTGGCTTCTGGCCAAAGGGTCTCAAACAACATCTGCTCCTTGTTATTATCACACTTGGTAATGCTTAACAGTTTTCAGAGGATTTTTCACACGAGAATCTCATTTGCACCTACCATTAGACAAAGCAGGTATTATCTTGGAGAGGCTAAAACTGCATGTCTAAACTAATACAGACAGTGTAAGAAGAGTACACCACAAGTAGCATGGACAGCATTAGAATTCAAGCCTATTCTGAATTCTAGGTCAAAAGGGTTAGAAGTGATCCCCATGATACCTGCTTGTGTCACAGAAGCAAAATGATAAATCTTTTAAAAAGAAAAACATTACTTAGATAAATTAAAACATTTTAAAAGGCTGACATGATGGCACATGCCTGTAATCTCAGCACTCTGGGAGGCCGAGGTGGATGGATCACTTGAGCTCCAGAGTTTGAGACCAGCCTGGCCAACATAGAGAAACTCTGTCTCTACTATAAATACAAAAACTAGCCAGACATGGTGGCATGCGCCTGTAATCCCAGCTATGTGGGAGGCTGAGGCAGGAGAATCACTTCTTTTGAGACACTGTCTCAAAAAAAAAAAAAAGTTGATAAACTGAACATCATGTACTTACAGCAGAGTTTAGCAGACAACAAATTCAAGTTAATTTCATATTAGAATTATAATAATGTTTTTAAATCATATAAAATTTTATAAGAAAATTCAACTTGCACACAGTTTTATAGGAATGCACATATTGAACAAAGAAAAGTAGACATGCTGGCTGTGGTGACTCACACCTGTAATCCCAGAACTCTGTGAGGCTGAGGCAGGAGTATCACTTGAGCCCAGGAGTTTGAGACAAGCCTGAGCAACATAGGGAGACCCTGTCTCTACATTAAAAATTTAAAAATTAGCTGGGTGTGGCAGTACTCGCCTGTGGTCCCAGCTACTCCGGAGGCTGAGGTAGAAGGATATGGTAGTTTGGGAGGTTGAGGCTGCAATGAGCCATGATCACACCACTGCCCTCCAGCCTGGGCAACAGAATGAGATCCTGTCTCAAAAAAATTTTTTTGAAAAGTAGACCTGTAACAATTTTACCTACCCCACTGCTCATATAGACTTGTCTGTCCAAACTATAAGTGGAAATTATTGGAAGATATTGAGACACAAGAGGAAGTTTCATTAAATTTATACTACCAGTGAACTATATTCTCACTTTCAGGAAAACTGTATTTATCACAAACTGCTACCTCTGTTTCCATTTTCCATGAAGAATTAACATTTCAAAAAAAGTCAATAATGTATAATATTGGTTTCCATCTGGAAGTATACACACCTCACATTTGTGAAGTCAGTGAAATTATTCCTTTCAAGAATGGTTTTTCCAACAGTTACCATGTTCTCAACTGTAAGAAAAGACACACATTACACTAGAGGAGATATTAAGTTCACAAACTGCCATTGATCTTCACTTAATGGCAAATGGATAAACATTTAAAGACACATTCAGGCCAGGCACAGTGGCTCACCCCTGTAATCCCAACACTTTGGGAGGCTGAGGCAGGAGAATCACTTGAGCCTAGGAGTTTGAGACCAGCCTGGGCAAAAAAGCAAGACCTTGTCTCTACAAAAAAAAATTTTTTAAGTAGCCCAGCATGGTGGTGCACACCTATAGTCCTGGCTACTTGAGAAGTGGAGGCAGAAGAATTTCTTGAGCCCAGGAGGTTGAGGCTGCACTGAGCTGATTGTGCCACTGCACTTGGCCTAGGTTAACAGAGTGAGACTCTGTCTCAAAAATAAATAAATAAAATAAAGACATTCAGTAGCTTTAAGTCACTGAGAAGTCTGCTTATCAACAACTGAAATGAAGTTTCAAATTGAGCCCCAGTGCAACATCACTATTACAAAATTTCACAAATAGGGAGATTTGGGGACAGCTGTTGAAAAGTATTATCAAGTGGCTGTTTAGGACACCTGATCATATGAGGACTAACTCTGAGTGTAAGAAGACCAAGTAATTAAACAGAAATTGTTTGATTTACAAACACTGCATGTTCTCACTCATAGGCGGGTGTTGAACAATGAGAACACATGGACACAGGGAGGGAGAACTACACACTGGGGTCTGTTGGGGGGAAATAGGGGAGGGACAGCGGGGGGTGGGGAGTTGGGGAGAGAGAACATGGGGAGAAATGCCAGATATAGGTGATGGGGAAGAAGGCAGCAAATCACACTGCCACGTGTGTACCTATGCAACAATCTTGCATGTTCTTCACATGAACCCCAAAACCTAAAATGCAATAAAAAAGAAAAAGAAAAAGAAATTGTTTGATTTAATAAGACAAGAAAATTCTGAATTTGTCTCTGAGCCCAAATTAAGGATATGGTATGCCTTCCAGACAGGCTATCCTTGACTAGCCAAACATTTGTATAACAACTCTGGCTTCCAAATTCCATTTGCTTTATCATCTCTCTTCTCTTGGTGTTTTATGGTCTTCAGGTGGGAATAAACCTCCCCATCAGGAAAATTTTGGTAACCTGGGATCTTCAAAGCTCAATGCCAAACGTTAGGCCTCTGTAGTTTCTAAATGGTGTAATCGTGTGTTTGAAAGAGAAAGAAGTAAAAAAATCTACAGAGGATAGATGATATATTGAAACTTACAAAATCATTGTTAATGTTTACTTCTTTAAGTCAGGCTTGAGCTAGGAGATTGCCAGCCTTCCCTGACTAGGCCAGTACCAAAGAGTCCAAAAAAAAGCTCCTAACTGCTTCAAGCCCAACTATATCTTTTTTTGTAATTTGTTATTTTTCTAATTTAATTCCACTGTCTTTAGAAAACATATTTATAAGATTTCAATCATTTGATATGTATTGAGCCATATTTTATTGCTCAGAATATGGTCAACTTTGGTGAACATATGCCTTTTAAAAAACATGTATGCTGTATTTAAGAAAAGATATTTAAATGTAAACTACAGTCATATTACTCAATAGTGTTATTGAACTCTTGCATATGCTTATTTTGTCAGCTTTCTAGATTATATCAAAATTATTAATTTGTAACAATTTTTAGTATGTAAATATTCAAATATAACAAAAGCAAATAGAAAAATGTAATGGAATCCTAAATACCTACCAGCTGCTTCAAAATTAGCAACATTTGATTTGCAACAGTTATAAAAACTAGTTATAACAACAGCCTCTATTCTCTACCTTGCTGAACATAAATTGAAAAATTCCTAAAAAGCTAAAGTGTCAAATCTAAGAAATAGCTACAAGAATGAAAATAGAAACTTTTAATAAGCAAATGAAATTTTTCAATCAGGTAAATCTAAATTGGATCTAACTGTTATAAGCTCAAATGCTACCCTGTAGTTATAAATCATATATGTTCTGAAATGTACTGATAGAACTTCAAATGACTAAAGTGCTTTGCTGTATTCAGAATAAACAGTTTAAAAATAGCCTAATGTTTAGGCTAATTCATTAGCCTAAACATTAATGAACTACACATGAAGGTTCTCCATCAAAGTGGTTTCTTACTCATCTTTTAAAAATCTAGCCCAATTGATCTATCGTGTAGGCTACCTTAAAATATTGACCAAACTAATCCCAGACCCTCATGACAAAGGCTTTCCAGATTTCAGAAGTCCCAGCCAGAGCAATTGGGCAAGAGAAAGAAATAAAAGGCATCCAAATAGGAAAAGAAGTCCAACTATCTCTCTTCACCAACAAGATGAGTCTACACCTAGAAAACCCTAAAGACTCCACCAAGAGGCTCCTGGAACTGATAAACCACTTTAGTAAAGTTTCAGGATACAAAATCAATGTAAAAAAAATCACAAAAACATTCAAACTCAGAGTCTCAAATCAAGAACACAATCCCATTTACAATAGCCACACACACAAAAATGTCTAGGAATACAGCTAGTCAAGGAGGTGAAAGAACTCTACAAGGAGAACTACAAAACACTGCTGAAAGAAATTATAGATGATACAAACAAATGGAAAAACATTCTATGCTCATGGATTTGAAGAATCAATACCGTTAAAATGGTCATATTTCCCAAAGCAATCTACAGATTCAACACTACCAACACCATTTTTCACACAACTAGAGAAAACTATTTTAAAATTCATATGGAACCAAAAAAAAAGCCCAAGTAGCCAAGACAATCCTCAGCAAAAAGAACAAAGCTGCAGGCATCACATTACCCAACTTCAAACTATACTATAAGTCTGTGTAACCAAAACATCATGATAGTGGTACAAAAACAGACACATAGACCAATAGAACACAACAGAGAACCCAGAAATAAAGCTGCACATCTACAGCCATCTGATATTCAAAGTTGACAAAAATAAGCAATGGGGAAAAAGACGCCATATTCAATAAATGGTGTTGGGATAGCCAGTTAGCTATATGGAGAAGAATGAAACTGGACCCCTATCTTTTCCCATATACAAACATTAACACATGATGGATTAAAGATTTAAATGTCAGACCTCCCTCAAACTATAAGAATCCTAGAAGAAACCCTAGGAAACACCATTCTGGACATCAGCCTTGGGAAATAATTTATGACTAAGTCCTCAAGAGCAACTGCAATAAAAACATAAACTGACAAGTGGGACCCAATTAGAGAGCTTTTGTATAGCAAAAGAAACTATCAACAGAGAAAACACATAACCTACAGAATGGGAAAAAGTATTTGCAAACTTTGTATCTGACAAAGATGCAATATCCTGAATCTGTAAATAACTTGTTAAACAATTAAACAACTAAAAAACATCATGAAATAATGGGCAATAGACATAAACAGATACTTCTCAAAAGAAGACGTACAAGAGGACAGCAAATACATGAAAAATGCTCCACTAATCATCAGAAAATGCAAATCAAACCCACAATAAGATACTATCTCAACACCAATCAGAATGGCTATTTTTAAAAAGTAAAAAAAATAACATGCTGGTGAGGCTGAGGAGAAAATATAACACTTATACACTGTTGGTGAGAATGTAAATTAGGTCAGCCACTATAAAAAGCAGTTTGGAGATTTCTCAAAAAAATTAAAATAGAACTATCATTCGACCCAGCAATCCCATTACTAGGTATATAACCAAAAGAAAACAAGTTATTCTACCAAAAAGACACATGCACTTGTATGTGAATCACAGCACTATTCACAATAGCAAAGGCATGGAATCAACCTAGGTGCCCATCAGCAGTAGACTAAAGAAAATGTGGTACATATATACCATGTAATACTATGCAGCTATAAAAAAGAATGAAGTCATTTCCTTTGCAACACCACAGATGCAGCTGGTGGACATTATCCTAAGTGAATTATACTAGAACAGCAAACCAAATACTCCATGTTCTCATTTAAAGGAGAGTCTAGACACTGGGTACTCATGGACAAAAAGATGGCAACAATAGACACTGGGGACTACTAAAAGTGGTAGAGAGAAATGGGGGCAAGAGTTGAAAACCTAACTGTTGGGTTCTATGCTCACTGCCTGAGTAACAGATCATTTGTATCCCAAACCTCAGCACCATGCAATATACCCATGTAATAAACCTGCTCATATACCCCCAAATCTAAAATATAAGTTGAAATTATTTTTTTAAGGCAGATTTGAAGTGAGGTTAGAAATATCTTAGAAAATGGTAAGTAACAAGTCACAGAAGACATGAGTAGGAAAATAAAGAATGATATTCAATAGACAAGATTCAGAATCTGCTTTTCAGAAGCTAGAAGTTCATCTCTAAAAACTCATAATTAAATTTTGGTGCTAATTCATATTCATAGGAGATTATAAGGCAGGTACCAACATGATCTCACTATAAGGCAATATGAGCTAATTTGTCATGTTATAAGTTGTTTATCCTTTTTCATAGCACCTTTCATTTCAGAGTCAAGAAAGTCTATCATTTTAAAAAATCATAAAAATAGGCCAGGCCTGGTGGCTCACACCTGTAATCCCAGCACTTTGGGAGGCCCAGGTGGGTGGATCACCTGGGGTCAGGAGTTCGAGACCAGCCTAGCCAACATGGTGAAACCCTGTTTCTACTAAAAATACAAAAAATTAGCCGGGCATGGTGGTGTGTGCCTGTAATCCCAGCTACTTGGAAGGCTGAGGCAGGAGAATCATGTGAACCCAGAAGGCAGAGGCTGCAGTGAGCCAAGATCGCTCCACTGCATTCCAGCTTGGGTGACAGCGAGATTCCATCTAAAAAAAAAAAAAAAGTCATGAAAATATATTCTCTTTTGGAGAGTTTAAAGGTTAAATAGCATGACGTCTGGTGTTTGCTTCAAAATCACTGTGAGAGAAGGTTAATATATTTTTTAAAATTTTCCATGAGTTACTAAATGTGGAAGCTGTGTAATGAATACATGAGTATTATACTATTTATTTTTGTATGAATTTAAAATTCTTTATAGTGAAAATTTCAAAAAGTCATAATGCTCCTTTTTCACAGTACTTAGCTAGACTTTTTAATCTTCACTACCATCACTGATACCAACTGAGGATGATATAAACATGAAGAATACTGCCACCATCTTACCCAGTTCTACTTGATCTTTCCTTAGAGATCTGCAGTTTCCAATATGCTTCTTTGGCACCACAAGATAATGATGAGTTGCTGCTGGTTTGATATCTTTGAAGCAAACTAGGTCCTCATTCTAAAGGAAAAAAACATTTGTTAGTGAATTTTTAAAAAGAATTTCTTAATGCTGTTCTGGCATGACTTAAATAGCATTAATCTCAGTCTGACAGAAAAATGATACTTATGTTACAACTAAGCTCCACTGGGCAATTTTATAATTATGCATTAAGTTCATAATGCTTCCTTCATGAGATGCTCATTTATTCTGGAGAATAAAAAGACACAAGAGGCAATTTCAGGGAAACAATTATGAGTGAAGTTCACTAAAACTTCATTACCAATAATCTTAGAGTTTATTATTTCATTACACATTTCTCCATCCCTACCCTAAGGTTTTTTTCACTCTTAATACATATTTTTAAAGGTTTGGCTACAGAATCACAGCAAGATAAATTCTTTTCTACATTTAATTTTTTTCTCAATGCAGCATTTTCCTCAATTATAAACAGAACATCAGTTAGCATGTACATGTCCAGGGATTGCATTTTTTAAACATTTTAAAAGTAATTGTATCCAAATACTTTGTACTTGCCACTTTACAGTATTAAAAAGACTGAAATGCTGAAACAAATTCCAGTATATTGTACTAATTTATGGACCCACTATAATACATGTATGGCATTTTCTGGTTTATATTACTCCACACAGTAATCTACAGAAAAAAGGAAAGGAAAGGAAGAAGAGAATGTTTCAACCTATTAACATTCGAGTTTCAAACTTTCCTAAGAGAAAATCTATATTCTCTTAAATAACCCTATTAAATACCTAGTAGTGAATATATTATTCAGTATCTGATTTTAATTCATTTTCATTTAATATACAGTTAAAATGAATTAAAATCAGTATAAGCAGAATTTCCCTTAGAAAAAATCTCTGAATGCAATGCTGCTCAATAGTTCTCTATTCCAAGAGCCAAGATTTAATTCAAACAAGTGCCTCACATCCATTCCGGTAATTCTTGTTATCCTAAGATAACAAACATGACAATTACATATCAATTTGAATCCATTTTTATCATTTTTATTATGATTTTTCTGTCTAGTAGTAAAATTAAAAATTGATATCCATGGGATGTTTTAGAAAAGGATAAGGTCAAGGACTACAATGCTTTTGATTGTTTAAAATTTTCCTTTTTTTCTTTCTTTGAGACAGGGTCTCTCTCTGTAGCCCAGGGTAGAATGCAGTGGCACATTCACGGCTTACTGCAGCCTCGAACTCCTGAGCTCAGTCGATACTCCCACCTCAGCCTCCCAAGTAGCTAGGACTACAGATGCACACCACCACACCAGGCTATGTATATGTATATTTTTTGTAGAGATTGGGTCTCCCTATGCTGCCCAGACAGGTTTCAAACTCCTGGACTTAGGCAATCCTCCTGCCTCAGTCTCCCAAAGTGCTGGGATTACCATTATTTCTTTAATGCTTCCAGCTCAGAAACAAAATTGGGGGTCAAATCTAGTACAACAAAATTGCCACAATCATACTTCCCAGACTGATTCATAACACAACAATGTTATATATCTGCATTTCCCCTCAGTTATGACATTAAATTTTTAAAATCCAGATGTAATTCTTTCTGGTACAGAATACAACCTGGTTAGAACTAGTCTGAGATGACATAGTTGAACTCTACCTCAGAGCAGGAATGACATTTCTTTAGATTAATAAAGCTAGCAAGTGCCCGTCTAATGGCTAGCAGGAAGGTTCCTAAAAATCTGCTCTCTCATGCTAAACTCAGCCATAAGAATGAACCAAAATGCTTAGTTTTGTCTTCTAACGTCTATATTAAAAGGTTTTGTTTGCTGTCACATATAAATGGTTTATTTTCCCAATCTTAATTTCCCAATCCCAATCCTAATAAAAACTACCAATCAACATGACTCTCATCACCAGAAATAGATAAAATTCCTGTGAAAAATAAAGAAACTTGAAGTTTTAGCTAGCCTACACCCTGACTGAATTAGATTTTCACTAACCTTTCTGAAATACTGAAACTAGCTCTGATGTCACTCTCTCTTCCATTCCTACTGTTGACCTAGGCATCTTTTACATGCTTCATCTTAAGAAAAATGATCCTTATTCCATAATACGCTGGCAAAAAACATAAAATTATATATATATTCTTTGCAACATAATTCATGATAGCAAAAGATTGAAAAATAAACCAAATCTTCATAATGCATCTGGAAGACTGGTTTAATAAATTATGGCAAATCCACACAATGAAGTATTGTGTGGCTGTAAAAAGGAATGAGGATGATCTTCATCTATGTATGAAATTGTTTCTATGATATATTCAAGTTTAAAAAAGAAATAGCAAGGAGCAAGAGAGTGGTTGGCCTATCTTTTGTGTGTAAGAAAGAAGAATATAAATACAGAAATATGAAAACCTATTTACTCAAAATAGAAGGATACACAAAAAGTTTTTAAGTTTCTTATGGAAAAAGAGAATATGGAGAAAGAGATGACAAATGGATGTCAGATTTCTCCAAATGTAACTTGCTTTACAATTTTGACTCTGAAAACATGTAAATATTTAACATGTATATTTCACACTTTACAAGAAAAAAAGAACAGTCCCTAAAAATCAAAAACAAACAAAAATAAATGAACCTAACTATATGTCATGTTGGTAGCATAATCATTCCATTCAAAGGAAAAATGATTTCAAGTGACTTGAAGACACAGTATTTTGACTATCCATCCCGAATGACATGAACTAAAAGAGCATTTTCATTCCAGCACTCAATTCAGATCATAGGAAACCTCAAGTATGGGGCATGCCATATTCATCTTTGAACTCCAAGTGAATAACACAAAGTATACCTGCAAAACTGCTGAAAAAATAAATGACAGATGCTTCATAGAAGATAAAGTTACTGATACACTTGCTTGCCATAACTTCTTAACTATGTCCCACTACACTTCTATAACACCCACTTGGCAAGACCCCAACCCTGGGTCCAACTGCCTACCTTGTGTAATCTCAGCCTTAGGCTGCTGCTGCAAAGGGGACAGAAAAATCACACAACTGAGCAGACCGCTATGACCTTAAATTGAATGTCCTCAACCTCACCTGACCCACTGTACAATAATCCTTGTTTCCCTAATTCTCTCTACCAGACTTCAGAGGAGCTACTTCAAACCTTTTACTTGTAAATAACCACATGACTGCTCCTTCTCCTCCTTCAAGGCTTAACCCAAATGTCACCTGCTTAGTGCAGATTTTCCTGACTAAAATTTTAAAACTACATCCCCTTCCCCTTTATTTTTTGCCATCTAATAAACTATAAATTTTACTTATTTTGCTTATTATCCTTTTCTGCAACTACAATGTAAGCTCCATAAGGGCAAGGAGTTTTGCATGTTTTATTTACTGCTGTATCCCCAAGCCTCCAACAGTGCCTGGCACACAGACTCATTCAAACATCCAGTGAGGAATGAGTTTCCTTTTTCCCAGGAGCAACGTTCTACCCCCTGGGCCATCTTAAACCTCTCACCATAGGCATCTTCCCATTGGGATTTGAACACACGAAAGTCTTCACTGTTTTAAAAAGCTTTGTCTTCATCCCCAACTTTTCCTGTAGCCACCATTCCATTTCCCTTCTCCCCTAGATTGCCAAATTCCTGTGAGAGTTGTCTGTATTTGCTGTCTTCACTCCTTCCTTCCCCAAGTTCTTCTCAATCAACTGCTCTGCCTTTTGCTTCATAGCTTCATGAAATTGCTGTACTCAAGGTCAGTGAACATCACTTTGGGGACACAACCAGTCCTGATCTGACTTGGCCTCTCTGCAAGGACATACAAGGGTCACCTAACCCAGATGTGAGGACGAAAGCAGGCTGATATTGCTGCTGACAATTCCTTTCTTCTTGACATACTCCCTTCTCTTAGCTTCCCCATCTTTCCATTTCTCTGTTCCCTTTTCAGGTCCTCTTCCTCTGCCTGTCCCTTATGATGTTTGTGTTCTTTAGAGTTCTGTAAAGACCTCCCCTTCATTTTTTACCTCCTGGGTGTTCCCACTGCTTCCCTTCTTTTTCAGTTTCCATCTATAAACTGACAGTTCCTGTAATCTGAGTTAGAGATACAGATCCCGCTACAGGGTTCTAGACCATCCAACCATTTAAAGGACCTCTCTGCTTAGATGCCTCAAACTCACCTCAAACTCCACGACTCCATAGCTGAGCTCATCACTCTGCTACTCCCCTGGCCATCTTTTCTTCTCCCACGTTCCCAGTCTTAATGAAATAATATCACCTCTACCAGTTTACCATAGCCAGAAACCTAGAAATCATCTTCGACTTCCCCCTTTCTTTTCCTTATTCTCTTATAGCTAAATCAGAGTTTCTAAGCCTTGGCACTTCTGATATTTTGGGGGCTGCATAAATCTGTTTTGTGTGTGTGTTGGAGCGGGGGCTGTCTTGTGCACCATACCATGTTAATAGTAACTCTGGCATTTATTCATTAGTAAGGTGCCAGAAGCAACATCCCACATAAAGTATCCCAAGACATTGCAAAATGTACTCTGGGAGGGCAAAATTGCCCCCAGTTGAGAATCACTGACCTATATCCACTAACAAGTCCTGCCTCTTTTACCTCCTGAATACTGTATCTCTTAAAGTGATACACTTTTCATAATCTCCTCTACCACATCCTCATTTCAGACCATCATCAGGGTAGATTACGCCAATAACCTCCTAACAGGTCTCCGTACCTCCAGACTGGTCTCCTCCAAATCATTCTCCACAACGGTGCCAGAATGACCTTTCAAAGATCAAATCCCTTCCTGTAACTTCACAACGTCGTCCTCCCAACCCACCATTAAACATTGTGAAGCTTCACCTTGCTCTTCAGATAAAGACAAAATTTCTTCATGTGAATTCCATCACACTTAATAATCTGGCCCCTTGTTTACCTCTCCAGCCTCGTCTTTCACTACTCATCCTCTCAAACTCTATGCACCAGTTAGACAGTTTCTGTTAGTTTTTGTATTGCACAAACTGAACCTCTGGGTGGGGTGGGGGTGTCTCTCTACCTGGGACACTATTCTCTCCAACTCCTCATCTGATCAACTGCTACTTATTTCTTCATGTCTCATTTCCTCAGGGAAGCCTTCCCTAACGCCTCAGATCTGGATTAGATGCCACTCCCACCAGCTTGCAAAATGCTGAAGAGCCACCTGACCACAGCAGGAGGCATTGTAATTGGCAACCTCCTCTGCATACATTCCGCCCTTTGGACTGTAAAATCTGGACACAGTCTGTCCCTTATCTTGCTCACCAAACTGCCAAACAAGGTGCTTAGAAGGAATTCTATTTATTTTTAACAAATAAAGGAATGATTACTACAAAAGACACAATCTTTGGAGCTAATTCTCTCAAAAAGTTGTTTATACATGGACAAGTAGGACGAGCAGAATGAAGTGTGTACCAGTTACCCGTTTAAAAATATCTGGGCAAAGTCTTCATGCTCTGAAAATGTGCACGCATCCCACCTGACAGTGAAATTAAGAGGCAATTCAGTAATAGTTTGACCTCAGACCCACTCCCTCCAGACTATTTTCCGCCAATCCAACAAACAGCTTTTCACAATTATCATTACCTATTTTCTACTAGTTCTCTCATCAGTAACGGTATTAGAGTGTTCAGGATTTCAAATCAGTATCTTGAAGGTGGGCGAGAATCCTTGTAATGAAAGCAGAGGCCACAAAATGCTATTTATACCAAGTACCCGAGTACCTGCAAATACAGGCCAAAGTGTTCGGCCCTGTCATTCACTCTTTGACTAGGGGACAGCAAAGATATCGCTGGAGCAACGGCCGTCAGTCCCCTGGCAGAGCGTCTGTGCTCAGCACGCGGCCCCCGCAGAAAGGCCTGGGGTGGGCGTATCCCCAGCTTCACCGAGCTCCATCCACACAGAGCGACCCTGCCTCGGCCAGCGGAGAAGCGACCGGGATCCTCGCACCCGATCCAGCCCGGTGAGGCCTCTCCGCCCGAGCTCCGAGGGACCGCCAGGTCGTCACCCACCACCGGCCGTGCGTCGCCGCTCACCTCGCAGTGCAGGAGTTCGGTGCCTGGGTCCTGCCGCCCTGCGATCCGGCAGAACACGCAGGTGCTGTCGTTGTCCTTGGGCTCCGGTGATTTGGCGGCGGCTTCGCAGGTCCCCACAGAGGAAGCCGTACGTTCTGTAGTCTCCGGGGCCTTAAAGTCGGGGTCCAGGCCGGCGCTGCAGTTCACCCGTTCATCCGCCATCGCACCCGCCCTCGCAGCCTAGAGCCTTGGCCTCTCCTCGCAGGCTCCCCGTCCTGCACCTCCTCCGTTTTACCTCGAGGCGTCGCCTCTCGCCTGGCGCTGTGCGGTGAGCCAGGCTGAGGCGAGAGGGAAGGAGACGCGGTGCTGAGCTTCAAAGCGTGAGGCCGGCCTCGAAACCGGTTGCCACTAGAAGGCGCCCGATGGCGCTGCCGAGAGTCGTCCCGCCCCCTGCGCCTCGTTGGTAATGACGCATAACGTCCTCCGAGACGCAGAGCGCGCCGCGCGACGTGGTGATGTCACCGAGGCGCGGGAGCGTGCGGCTTAATGGAGGATGTTGGGTGAGCTGGATAGGCTTTCTTCAAATCCCACAGCATAGCGTATCCAAATATTCTATTACGCTCCCGTTTAAAAAAAAAAAAGTTTTTAAAAGTTTGGTTTTTAAAATTCATAAGTTTTTAAAGAGTGAACAAAATTCCTAGAGCCTTGTTTTCAACAGACATCATGTTTGCTGCATTTTCAGCCATGGTAATTATAGGCGTTTTCGCTCCAAATGTCCAAAACTGACCTTTACATCTCTGGACTTTTATTGTATTTAACAGCACAGCTAGATCAAAATAGTGACCTTTTAAAAAAAATCTCACATTCATCATATACAAGTAAATGTTGAGTCGTATAGTTAATAGTTTGAAGTATCCCTGAAATTCAATGCCAGTGCCTCGTAATGCCTCACCTAGACCAATGCAATCACCTTCTAACTATTTCTTGATTTTCCTGTCACTCAGAAAAAACCTTCAGTGACTATGTGCTCAAAGAAAAAGTACCAGTTTCTTAGCTTGGTGTTCCAGGTGGACTCTGACCTCAGCTTTTCATTTTGTGATTCTTCATTCACACTTGCTGAGCATCTAAAACATGCCATATACGTCCCTAATTGTCAAAATAAGCAGGGTTGGCTTTATACCCCTTTTAGAGATGAAGAAACAAATTCAGACTTGCCCAGTCCCACACAACTAATTAATAGTGACCCAGTTTAAGATCAAGATTTGTCTAACTCCAAAACCCACCAACCTTTTGACACAGAACTGCTTTTTTAACACCAAAAAATTTTTTGGACTAGCTCTCCATAGTAATTTTACCCTTGGTATTTGCTGATTTGGAAAATACATCACAAACCAATTGGGAATTCAGTGATGATTTTTAATGAATTTATGTAGTAAAAAAAAGTGGTTTATATGATTTTGAATTGTTGTACCTATTCATTCAAGACATTTTTAATTCCTTTTTGTAGTTGGCCACTGGATTATGGAACCATTGCAATAGCTTCACTGCCCCTCAGCTCCCCAAAGCAGAGTTCAAAATCAATACATTGGACCTTTGCCAAATTTTAGTATTCAGAATTTCCATGCCTTTACTGCACCATTACACCACTCTGCTTTTATTCAAACAGTTCCCTCCAAAATAGTCTTGTTTCCACCTCTTCACTTCAAATTTTACCTTCCCAGACACCCCTCCAATGCTACCTCCTTCATGAAATTTTCTTTAATTAGCCAAGCTGAAATAAGCACATCCTCTGAAGAATTCATATAACAGGTTCTGTTGTAGAATTTGTCTCTTTGGATCTTCTCTTATCGAATTTGTATATTCTCTTGTAGAATTTGTCTCTTTGTGTCTTATAGCTATTTATGTACATATTTATCCTGCTAGAAATTGTTTCTTGACAACAAGAATGGGTCTGTGCATCTTCCATAATGCCTAGTACAGTGTTGTGCATGTAGGTAGAAATTTAACCATTTTCTAATGAAGAATGGTTAATAGCAAGGTCACTGCATGAGCGTGTTCAGGTTTCACAATGTGCAAGGATACCACAGATAAGAGTGTGCTGATTCATATCATACACATATATTAACTTGCAGAAAAGCACAGACAGAACTGAAGATTCCAGGCTAAGTTCTGGAGCAATGGAGAAATGATGTGTATATAAACCCCCATTGTGTACATATGGCCACACACACTTAGGAGACCATTCACCTACATACTAGGACACACACCTGCATAAGTTGCATCTTCTGGCTGCACTCCTAGTGACACCTGGGATTGCTTTTCTCACTTGCCTGGCACTTTCCAAGGCTTGCTTCTCCTTCCTCAACTTTGAACTTGATATCGTTGCCCACCTTGGAAGTGAGGGTAGGAACATGAAGTACTTGAAAATTGTGTAGACGATGTGTTCCTTTTGGAAGCAGGCAGGACTACTGCCAATGGGTATTCTGGATAACCCTCCTGAGGGACAGCCATTCCAGTTCCATAACAATATACTAACTTAAATCTGCTTGTGAAATCAAGTGCTGTTTGCTAATTTCACAGGAGTACCATATGGGCTAGCAGGAGCCCTGCTTCAGAGCAGGCTCTGGAGTCAGACTACTCCACAACTTACCATCTGTGAAAACTCGGGCTATGTTATTTTTCTTTCTCTGCTGAGACACAAATTATTTATCTTCCTGTGCTGAGGTTTTCTGTTCATTCATCTATAAAATGGGTATAATAATGATGCCTAATGCATGATCGTGTTGCAAGTAGAATTATCACAGGATCCTTCAGGTAGCGCTTCGCAATCTGGAAACCTCTGTGGCCAGAGGCCCCTCTGCTTGAGTTTTGCTCATGCCCACTGGGCTTGTTCCACCCATTCAGACCAGCAGGCTGTGCTCTGCTCACACAACCGGCCTGGATCCCACGTCTGCCAAAGGCAAGCCAGGTGTGGAGCTGCAAGGGGTGTGTGAGCGAGTGCAGGATTCCACCACTGCTCACAGCCAGGCATGCTGGCTGCTGCAGTGGGGCACGCAGCTCCAGGCACCTGCACGGGTGCTGACTCCATATGAGGCTGCGGCTGGATCAGACGTACTGCAAGTGGCTTCTGCTGTAGGCACCAGCATCTGGACATGGGGAACATGGTGGCGCCGGAAAGCTTGGAGATGCCAGGAACCACAGAGCCCCAAAGAGGGCATTATAGTGTGTCACAGTCCTGGCTCAGGGAGCCCCAAGGTCTGTGCTCCAAGAAGGGCCACAGCTCTTCTCTCCTCGTCCATTATAGTACAGCAAGCAGGGGTTCATGTTTCAGGTGGGGTGTGTTTCAGTCCATTTGTGTAAAGGCTCTTTCAGTCCCACTGCCTGCCCTGGTCTGTCTGGCCCATGGCTCCTGGGCTGGCCCCGCCAAGCCACTGCTTCTTGTTGCATGGAGTGGCCACCTGGCACCAGCAGAGGGCAGGAAGGCTATATAGTGTTACAGCTCTGGCACAGGGACTTTCAAGGTCTGGGCCCCCAGAAGGGTTGCTATGCTTCACTCCCACAGCTAGTACCATGCCACTGCCCCCCACTCAGCAAACTGGCCAGGAAAGTGTTGTAGCCCCTTATGCTCCCACCCGCAGCTCAGTGAGCTGGCCAGGAAAGTGTTCCAATTCCTTTTGCTCCTGCCATTCAGAGGGTCCCAAGTTCTTGTACCGCGTCCAGGAAGAATGAGGCCAGGTGGACAACTGGAGGGTGAGCAAGGTGGAGAAGAGCTTTATTGGGTAATTGAACAGCTTTCGGCAGAGAGACTTATAGTGGGTAGCCCTTACTCCAGGTCATGGATTTCACCCAGAGCTGGCAGTCGAAGCCCCAGCTGGCTTGTCACTGGGTATAAGTTGAGGTTTCACCTGGGACCCACCACTTCCCACCTAGAAACCTGTCTGCCTCCTGCCACCATCAGAATGACACATCAAGATATCACCTTGTTTGAAAGTAATTTAGAATATGTATATAAATCTGATTGTTATCAGTAACTCTTAAGAGCCAAATTTGAACATTGCTTTTCCCATCACTCATGAATCTATTTCTCTGCTCCTCTTTGCAACAAAACTCCTTAAAAAAGGTATCTGTTTGCTTCCCAATCTGTCTTCTTTTCTCTCTCACACTGCCTCCTATTAGACTTTTAGTGCCACCACTTGATCCAAACTACTGTTGTCATCAGTGACTATATTACTACATCTAATGGTCACTTCCAAGTCCTCGTCTTTTCTTTTCAGCAACAGTTGGTCATGCCCTCTCCCTTGACAAACTTTTCCTCTCTTGGTTTCCTGGACATCGCATCTTTTTTTTTTTTTTTTGGCTTTCCTCCTACTTCACTGGCTGTTCCTTCTGAGATTCTTGTGCTATGGACTCTTGATCTGTCACCAGGCTGGAGTGCAATGGTGCAATCTCCACTCACGGCAACCTCCTCCCTCCCGGGATCAAGCGATTCTCTTGCCACAGCCTCCCAAGTAGCTGGGACTACAGGTGCCCGCCACCACACCCCACTAATGTTTTGTATTTTAGTAGAGACGGGAGTTTCACCATGTTGGCCAAGATGGTCTCGATCTCCTGACCTTGTGATTCGCCTGTCTTAGCCTCCCAAAGTGCTGGGATTACAGGCGTGAGCCACTGTGCCCGCCGGTTTTCTTCTCTTTAGCTACACTCACTTCCTTGGTTGTCTCATGCAGTCCGTGGCTTTAAAGACCAAATATTTGCCAATAACTCCCAAATTTAAGTCTCTAGTACAGATCTCTTCCCTGAACTTCAGACTTGAATATCCAAGTGTCTATTCAACCACCCCATACACATGTTTAGTAAATGTTATAAATGAGCCCGAATGAGCTACTATGGGGAGAGCTCCTCTCTCACCCCACCAAAACCTGCTACCATCTCAGCTGAGGGAAACCATTCTTCCAACTGCTCAGGACAAAACCTTTGAAATCATTCCTGACACTTCTCTTTAACTACTAGCCAATCCATAAAGAAGTTCTGTAAAGTACATTTAGGCATTGCTGTTATCGCTACTATCACTTTTGACTGAGCCACCATCTCCTCTTACACGAATCATTTTGTCAACCTCCTAATTCGTCTTACTACTTCCAACCTTACCCTCCACCCCCAGTTACTGTCTAGTCTCAGCACAGCAGCTGGGGTGACCCTTTTAAAATGTAAGCCAGATCATGTCACTTTCCTGCTCAACATCCTCCAGTAGTTCCCTAGCCCATGAGTGTAAAAGCTGAAGTACTTACCTATGAGGGCCTATAAGTCCCTACTGTGTATGCCACCTGCCCACCCTTTACATTCTGACATCAGCTGCCACCAACATTTCCATCGCTAACCCTCCTGCAGCAACACTAGTCTCTTTGTCGTTATTTGTATAGGCCAGGCATGCTCCTGCATTTGAGCTTCTGCAGAGGGCTCCCTC